TTTAATATTATATAAATTTGTCCTCACTTTGAAACGATTGAACCAGCCCTTACTCTCACTAAATTCTTCATCACAATCATCTTCACTTGCTGCACATGCAGCTTTTAAATCATTGAAAAGGCTTCAAGCCTGTTCTTGCACTAAAGTAAGGCTAATAGGCATATTACACTGATTTTGATCATCTAACCAAATTCTCAAATAGCCTTTCCATTTCAATAATTAAACCACTTTGTCGCTTAGTAATAACTGTAGCTTTCATCGGGGCAGAGCCTTTCACATGTTCCATTATTCTCACTTTATCCTTTAAAATTGTTCCGATTGTTGACCGACTGTAGCCTAATGCTTTTCCAATGACTGATAATGTTTCACCTCTTTCTGATCATTTGATTATTTCCACTTTATTTTCAATCGTGATCGTTTTTCTTTTCTTTGATGCATCATCAGCATTTGCATCAGATTTATGCTTTGGAGGCATGGTTACAGGGGTAAATAAGAAGAAAATTTTAAGCCAAATACAAAGTTACACATTCAACACAGTGTTAAAATCAGTGTAATCAGACTCAAAACAGGCTGACAGCGTTCTCCTTCTACCAGCTGACTAGCCACTGAAGCCGGGCAATGTTTTCATGAGCAGCCATAAAGTAATGCATGCATTCCTTATTACAAACCAATAGGTCTTATGGCAGTTCCTTAAGTACTAGAGTTGTCGGGGGAAATTACTGTATTCAAAACCAATAAAACCCATTTATGTAAGTACCTAGGAGCAAAAAATTGAATGATGGACAGTTGATTCTGAAACTTCTGTTAGTAACCCTTCATAAATAGAATTCATTGGTCTAGAAGTGACTAAAAGGTGATGAAAAGAACAGTCTGAAGGAATGATGGGGAAACAAATGTGGTAGTAAGTAATCTAGGAGAGACGGGGTATGATATTGTTTAGTGAGTGTGGATTAGAAAAACTGGGGGAAGATCAGAAAGTAGTGATGTGTTCTTGACTTCTGAATATTCACCAGCAAAACCCTGTGGACTCCCAGCCTGGCCTCAGGGAAGTGCCTTCCCCACAAGGGGCCCCTCACAGGGGGAGCTTCCTGCTGGGGTGTCATATTTCAGCGTTCTAAGAAAGAGGTTGCCTGGAGGGTCTATATTTAGGGTATGACTCTGGGCAGGGACAGGAGGATGTCTGGGGACTAAATTCTGCATACACTTGTCCCTGAGTTCTGGGGTTATTCTGAGGGGTTTGTGTGGTGAAACTGGAACGGAAAGCAGGGAATGAAAGTGACTCTTTCTTGTGGTGACTGCTTGGTGTCCTGTACACTGTCCTTGTGTTGGAAAAATGACACGGGCATCTAAGGGGTGTTGCAGTGACTCACAGTCACCCACACACTCCCACTAGCATCTCTACTGGAAACTGCTGAAAACTAAAAAGAAAGAAACAAATAACAACAACAACAACAAAAAGCAGTTGTCATGGGGGTCAACTCCAACTCATGGCGACCCTATGTGTTTCAGAGTAGAACTGCACTCCATAAGATCTTCAATGGTTGTAGTCTTACTGAAGTACAAGCAGTGTCACTGGATAGAGCAAACCGCCAATGATTCAGTTAGTAATTGAGTGCAAACCTTTTCCAATGTCCAAGGACCTAGTCACTACTATAGTACATATAGTGCGATACTGGAGATGGCTCACCAATGTCATGATAGAAGGAAAATTCCACCAGCTAAGCCTCATTTCCATCAGTGGGGAATCAGAATTCTCAAATTTCTGCATGATTTATGGGTTGCACCATGACACTTCTGAACAAATTTTAAATAAAGTCCTTTGAAAGGAGAGCAGGCTAATCAATGAAGTTACTAATTTGTAAGGCTCTACATTCAGCTCTAGTAGCACAGTGCCTAAGGCACTTGACTGCTAACCAGAAGGTTGGTGGTTTAAACCCACCAGCCACTCCTCGGAAGGAAGGTTGGGCAATCTACTTCCGTAGTGATACCGCCTCGGAAACCCAAGGAGGGGTCGCTATGAGTCGGGGCTGACTCAATGGCACATAACAACAACAACAACATTCAGTTGAAGGTTTCTGAGTGGCACAATTTTCTGCACTGGACTGCTAACCTAAGGGTTGGAGGTTTGAACCCATCCAGTGGAACAGCAGAGGAAAAGCCTTGTCGATCTGCTTCTGTTAAGACTGTTGTTGTTAGTTGCCACGGAGTTAATTCTGACACTTGAGGACCACCTGTGTGCAGTGTAGAACTGCTCCAGAGGGTTTTCAAAGCTGTGACCTTTTGGAATCAGATCACCAGGCTGCCTTCTGAGGCTCCTCATGTGGTTTTCAATCACCAGCCTTTTGGTTAGAAGTCAAGCACAGCCATTGAAAACCATATGGTGCTGTTCTACTCTGCACACTTGGGGTTGCCATGAGTTGGAATTGACTCAGTGGCAACTAATAACAACAAAAACAAGATTCGCCTGGAGTTAGAGATCTGCCTTAAGTCTGTCCTTTGAAGCCAGAGTGAAAGCCATCCAACAATTTTCCATGAAGTTGTTCATTGACGTTGAATACGAAGAGTTCAGACAGGAGGAAAACGGACAGTGGGACAGTGGTTTACTTATCTGAAATGGGCACAATTAGAACACCAACCTTCTTTCTCACTACAGATTCATTTATCCATCAATTTTAAATCATATTGAAATACACTGGTTTTGTTTGTCAGGTGTTGGGTTTTTTTTTTTTTTTTAACTTTATTACACTTAGTGTGTAAAAGCTGCTATTGTCTGTGAAATCAGAAGAAAGTATTTTCAGTGTGAAACAAATTAGCTTAACCACATCAATGAGACCTCCCAATGAACTGGAAAATCTTGCTTATCTTATATACCTTTCATTTAAAAAGATTTGAATCCTTTTTTTCTCTGAGTGAAAATAGTATTGTTGTATTTTCTGATTACAATAGCCTGAGTCAGTACAAAAAGGATGGAAGAAATCGAACATAAAAGTGTCAAGATATTAATAAAAATCTCACTACTATTTGGGTTCCCTTTTCTGACTATCCCCCCCATTCTGGTGCAGAGCTTACATAGAAGAGGTAGAAATTAAGCAGAGAGGGTACAGAAGTTTCAGAGCCTAGGAAAGGATGAGACAATTCCCTCAAGGATGGTAAGTGAATGGTAGCCCCAGGAAAGGATGCTGACCCTTCCTGTAATTGTTGTTGTTGGTTGCGATCAAGTGATTCAGACACACAGCAACCCCATGTGACAGAGGAGAATGACCTCATAGGGTTTCCTAGGCTATATAATCTTTTAGGGGAGCAGGTCTCCAAGTCTTTCTCCCAAATAGCCTGGTGAGGTGGTTTCCAACTGATAGTGTTTTGCTTAGCAGCCAAGCACTTAACCACTGCGCCACAAGGGCTCCTTTCCTTTAATTAGAGAAAGGCAAATTCAAACTTCAGGGGGGGTAGAGCTGCTTCTGATCCCTGGAATTGTTAAAGAGGAAAAGAGTGACAGGGCCCAGTGTAATGGGTGGGGGGAGGTACAGGGCAGTCCAGCGCCTGCAGCACTGCTTGTGGGAGTGGAAATTGGGGGCCAGAGCTCACTGGTGACGTGGTCTTCACGTGACCAAGGGCTGCTTAGAGCAGAAGTCCTGCTAGTCGCCTCCGTCTGGGTACCAGCCCCCTATTACTCTGCGAGCGGGCTGAAGGAATAAGGAAACTCTCACGGACCTTGCAGGTTTGAGGGTGGGCGCTGCTTTGACGGAGGTGGGAATGGGAGAAAGCCAAGAGGGCTACGGGTCTGGTTCTTTCGGACCCGATCCAGCTGTTTCCCCTCCTAGCCTACTTTCTGAATACCCCACCCCCCTTCTTGGCCTCTGCCCATTTTAGTACAGAAATCTGGCTAGCTTCGGGTGGGGGTAGGGGAGTAATGGACAGCAGTTCCGGGGAATCAGAGGAAAGAGAGGTTACCCAAAGACGGCAACAGCGTGCCATGTCCCTGGTGCTGGTCTATCCACCAAGCAGCCAAGCATTCCGTCCCTTCTTTCTCCAGTCTCTCTTCAGGTTTGTAGATCTGTTGGCCAGTAGGTCACAGCTCCAGTCGTGCCGAGGGAAGGAAAGAACTGCCTGGAACCATACAGTTCAGTGCGAAGGTGGGATTAGTCCCGGACCCTGAGTGGGGGTGGCGAGTCTGGGATCTGGTCGGGCCAGGTCCGAGTCGCCCCCTCCTGGCCTCTCCTTTCTCCACACCCCCTCCCATTTCAGTGCAAGGAAAGGGGTGTGGCGGCCTTTGCAGGGGAAATGGCGGATGACGAGGGGGCCCGGGAAAGCCCGCATTAGAAAAGTCGGGAGAGTATGGGAAAGATTTTAAACTCAGGGTCAAGAATTCAGAAAAGCAGGTCTTGGAACCTTTGCCCTCAGCGCTGATCCATACACTATACTTTCAGTTCTCCACTGCCACCTTTTGGTCCTTCCATCTATCCTTCTGCCCAACTGTCCATCTATCACTATGTAGAGAGCAGAAAACAAGGGAAAAAGAAAGAATTTACCTGACTTTGGTAGAGGTTAGTGGAGGAAACTGCGTGTGAATCTTTGGAGGTGGGGATAGGGTGGAGGAAGAACCTGACTGCCTAAGGGTTTGCCTCTCCCTCTCACCCTCTTATCCACCTAAACGGAAGGACCCCATCTTTCTCCCTTCCCTGTGGGATCTGGAAGAGAAATGGTGGGCCCTGCGGGTAGTTAGGGGGTGACAGAAAAGAGCAAAGAAACTGTTTGCTAATAATTCATGTTTCTCACCAAGAACTCAACCTCAGCTCTGTCTGCTTGGTGAAGAACAATCCTAAACCAAAGCCCTAATCCTCTTTTTCACCCATAGATTCATCTCAAGAGACTTGACTGAGCCTAAGAAGGGCGAAGACTAGCACCCTCCACCACTGCTCAATTTGGCCCTAACAGACCTCTTCAGTCAGGCTGAGCAAGGTGTTTTCCTGCCCTGACCCAAGGCTTGTATAGACTTGAGTATGGGTCGGGCTCGGGAAGTGGGTTGGATGGCAGCAGGACTAATGATTGGGGCTGGTGCTTGCTACTGTGTTTACAAACTGACCATAGGAAGAGAGAACACTGACAAGTTGGAGGAGGAAGAGGAGGAGGAAGAGGAAGAATGGGACAATGATGAGGAACTGGATGAGGAAGAGCCCGAGATGTGGTTTGACTTCACAACTATGACTCGGCCCTGGAGTGATGATGGAGACTGGACTGAACCTGGGGCCCCAGGTGGTAATGAGGACAGGCGCTCAGGTGGGGGCAAGGCTAACCGAGCACACCCAACAAAACAGCGTCCGTTCCCCTATGAACATAAAAACACTTGGAGTACTCAAAGCTTTAAAAATGTCAGCTATGTTGTTGACCTCTCCAAGAGTCCTTTCATTCAGGTAAAAGTGTTTGCTCAGCCCACGGATGCCAGTTTTTCATGTAGTCACAGTATCAGTAGTCATTTGTCTAGCCTCTCCATGGTTGGAAACATGATCCCCAATGCAAACCCCACTGTTGAGGAGAAGGCTTTCTGTGCGCTGGGGAACTTGAACGTGAGTGCTGAAAATCAGGGCCAGATTAAGATGTACATCAACCAAGTGTGTCGCGAGACTGTGTCTCGTTGCCACAACTCATTTCTGCAGCAGGCAGGATTAAATTTGTTAATAAGCATGACAGCTATTAATAACATGCTTGCCAAGTCCCTTTCAGGCTTGAAGTTTCCTTTGGTAGTGGAGGGAAGTGGACATGCTAAGGCTCAGGTGTTGAAACCGCTAATAGGCTTGTCTGAAAAGCCAGCCTTGGCAGGGGGGTTGCTCGGGGCCCACGTGCTGTTGTCATTCATTCCCCTCTTTATCAGAAATGGAAACAGAGAGATTCTCCTGGACGTCCTGGCCCCTTAAATGGCTAGCTATCTCAAACAGAAAGGGGTGGAATCCACCCCAAACCCATTTGGTGAACACTCACCTGTGTTCTCATTCAAGGAATCTGCAGTGGGTGTTGTAGAAGTCCAGCCTTAGCCAATCACCACATCACTGGGAGAAAGTCACAGCTGCTAAATTAGGGACCACACTCTCACTGGCCAGCAGGGGTTCCCACAGAGCTTGGAGCAACTTCTTGGTTTTGCAGTCTTGTAGGCAGTGCACATTGTAAATCCTTCCTTTGCAGCCTTCTTCTTGTGGTGTAGGGCTCATTGCAGCTGCCAGCTGTGGGTAAAGAATGTCCTATGACAGCATCACTGCGCAATGTTGTCGCCTGTGGTGGTCTCCCTGGTTAAGCTGGACCGTTCTGTGCAGAGCAGACTCATACCAGAGCTTGGGCTGGAAAAGCATTTGTTCCTGCTTAGACTGAATTCTCTTTTACATTTACTCTCTCCTGTGCGAGCTGACTAGTCATCAAAAACCTCTTATACACTCCCCTTCTATCAATTGTACTGACTTCACCTCACCCACCCAAGTCTTCGTTGGTGTGTATCATCAATAAAGTTCTGTGCTTTGATTGGCAAAAAAGAGACATGGTCCTTGTCCTTGAGCTGACAGTCTGCATGAAGAGAAACACACACACACACACACACACACACACTCGCGCACACACACACAATGCCAACTAATCAGGGCATTGTCTCCCTGACAAATCATGCTCACCAGTGCTCACAGGAGGCAGAGGCTGAAGTGGGCTGCAGTGCTCAGTAAAAGTTTCAAGAAGGGGCAGGGGGCAGGGCTGAGGGACTGAAGATGAATGTGGAGAGGACAAAGAGACAACACCTGTGAAGCAACCAGCACAGTGCCTGGCACAGAGAAATCCTATGATCAGGGTGCATGTCCTTGCTTCCGTCCTAGACTGCTGGCTTAGAGAGGAAAGTCCGTATCATTGAGGCTTGTCTCCCCATACCAGGGGGGCACACTGCCACCCCTCTGTGTGCTCTTATAGCAACTTGGTTGACATTGGCTGAATGCTATTGGCTGTATGTAGTTCAAGCTCTCCTGCAAAGCAACTGTTAGTTAACCCACTCCCAGC